TGTTTGTGTGTGTGTGTGTGTGTGTGGGCTTCCCAGTACTCGGGCAAACAGACGAACTAACCAACTAACTAACTAACAAAAAACAAGCTCACTAATAAACAAACGAACAATCCAACAAACAGTGGTTTTCTCAAGTTCTGAGAATTGACCATTACAACAGATTTTCGCCATGTGTTTCTGCAATGATTGATTCGGTTCGCCGGGCGACCAAGTTTCTTCATTTGATACCCTATTTGAATGAATTACTGTGTGCTGAAGCGTGTCATTGAGGTGTGTGATTGGGGCGTGTGATTGAGGTGGTGAGCGAAATCGAAACTATGTCGGCTGGGAACATTTTGCATTCAGCTCTGTCTAATAAAATCAATATCCGTCTTTCTCACAGCAGCTCTGGACTGGTGATTACACCGCTCACTATAAACGTATCCGGAGGGGGGAGGGGGGTGCAAGATCTATGCACAAAAACTGTTCTTAATTAACACTCCTTTTCAAGTCGGACTTATATTAATTTGTATATCATGGGATATATAAGGTGACAGTCCTTCTTACGTATTGGACTGTTCAGGTACTGTTTTATGCGTCTGTGCGTCGTTTTTCAGTAATTGTGAGGCAGCGTGGTGGAATCAGGCTCTCGTCAAAATAATCAAAATGAAGAAACTTGCATTTTTCTGCAGGTTTGAGAATTTTTATCAAAATTTTGTTATTTGGCTCAACACCTTTCATGCCCATTAAATTACTCTTTTCTTGGTGGATTTTTCTGAAAAAACGATAGAGGGCACAAAAAATTTTAATTTTCAGTTACCACGGACTCTTAAGCTTAAGAAAAAACTAATCTTTGCGGTCATTTTCTCACTAATTGTACTTCTGAAAATAGGTGACCCCCACCCCCTTCATTCACAAATATCTCGACTTGTATTCAAGATAACTGGATATTTTTTTCATTCAAAATAAAGACAAGTAAACAAGCATTAAGATGACACCAATAACTCGACATGCCCAAATGTTGACGAGAGCCTGATTCAACCACGCTGCCTCACAATTTTAACTGTTGGTGAGAGGATGCGATTTGTGATTTGTGTTTTTTCCTTGATGACTATATGAGTACTAGTAAAGTCTTGGATATAGTGTGAATGTAAGCCTACAACACATTTGATGATGTAGTTTATTATTTCCTTTTTCTTCTCTCCAGGGAGGTAACTCACTACCCACTGCTCCGTAGATTGTACAGACTATACAGGTAAGAGACGCCCATATTAAAACTGTAACGTTATTTAAGCTATAAGACCTCCGGATTCAACGTCCATAATGTTTGGGGTCAAACCAAAAAGGCGGAG